TGAGTGGATTGCCTGAGTCCGCGGGTTCGAGACCCGCCTGGGCAGGCGAGCCCTCATCTCTACAATAAATCAAAAATCAGCTGGGCATGGTAGTGTGCGCCTGTAATTCCGGCTACTCGGAAGGCTGAGGCGGAAGGATCGCTGGAGCCCAGCAGGTTGACGCTGAGGTGGCTGTGAGCATGATACTGCACTCCGGCCTGGGCGACAGAGTGAGATTCCAACTCAAACAAACAAACAAAAAAATAATAAAATTATATTTTGATGGTTTTTTTAATTAATTAATTAATTTATTTATTTTGAGTTGGAGTCTCATTCTGTTGCCCAGACTTTTGTGCAGTGGCCGCTTCCGGCCACCGCAGCCTCGACCTGCTGGGCTCCGGCGATCCTTCCGCCTCAGCCTTCCAAGTAGCTGGAACTACAGGCACGCGCCACCACACCTGGCTAATTTTTTTTATTATTTTATTGTAGAGATGAGGTCTCGCCTGCCCAGGCAGGTCTCGAACCCGCAGGCTCAGGCAATTCACTCACCTCAGCCTCCCAAAGGCGCGGGATTACAGGCTGAGCCACCGAGTCCGGCTGATGGTTTTATTTTTTAACACAATATATAACATTACTGTATAATACCATATATATATATATAATATAGTATATAATACATCCTATGTTATACATCCTATGTTATAACGTCATTATCATATGTAATATTCTTTTGTATGGCAGTACTATGCTTTGAAAATTCAAAATTATGCAAAAGGCATATCAGAAAGTTGGTCGGTCGTAAACTTTGAATTTCTTTTTATTTATCCTGCTTGGGATTCATTGGACCTCTTCAGTCTGTGTTTGTCTTTAATCAGTTTTGTAAATTTCTCACTCACTCATGCCTCTGATCCCAGCATCGTGGGAGGATGAGGCTGAAGGATCTCTTGAGCCCAGGAGTTTGAGGTCCGTTTGGGCACATAATGAGATCTTGTCTCTGCAGAAAAAATGAAAACATCAGCTGGGCGTGGTGGCGCATGCCTGTAGTCCCAGCTACTCAGGAGGCTGAGGTGAAGAATCATCTGAGCCCAGGAAGTCGAGGCTGTGATAAGCCATGATCGCCCCACTGCACTCCAACCTGGGAGACCTTGATGCCAAAAGGAAAAAAAAGAAAACTTCTCAGTCCTCATCTTATATTGTTCCTCCTCTATTTCTCCTCTCGTTCTGAACTCTAATAAGCATATGTTAGACTTCAGGACTGTATTTTCTCTTACCTTTATTTTGTATTTTCCATCCTTTTTTCTCTCCGTGTCACATTCTGGAAGGTTTTTCCTGACTTACCTTCCAGTTCAGTAATTCTCTTTTTGAGTCTAATCTGTTATGTTTATTCATCACAGTTTAACATTTTGGTTTTTATAATTCTTTTGTTTCAGAATTCCATTTTGGAATGTGTTTTCAAATCTTGTTATGTCATTTTTTTATAGTGTCCAGTTGTATAGTACATATTTAAATGTGGCTGGGTGCGGTGGCTCGAGCCTGTAATCCGAGCACATTAGGAGGTTGAGGTGAGAGGATTCTCTGAGACTGCAGGTCTGAGACCAGCCTGGGCAACATGGTGAGACCTCATCTCTACAATAAATCAAAAAATCAGCCAGGAATGGTAGCATGCACCTGTAGTTCTGGGTACTTGTAAGGCTGAGGCGGAAGGATCGCCGGAGCCCAGCAGGTCGACACTGGGGTGGTCGTGAGTGTGCCACTGTAGCCTGGGAGATGGAATGAGACTGACTAAAAAAAACCCACAAAAGACAAAAATTAATTTAAATCTTAGTGAACTTTGGTATAAGTCAAAGACCAGAAGTATACTCCTGGTTATATTCCAAGCGCCTCCTTTTGAAAGTGTTTGAAAACACGACTGCTGTGCATGCGTCAGGAAGCATTTCTACCGTCGCCCAGGAAGTGGGGAGTCGTGCAGTCGTCAGACCCAGGCTGCCATCGCTTGTTTGAACACACACACACACTGCGGCATGGGTCTCCTGCGCACTTCTGGATTCTGGCCTTGTAATTCCTGGTACTCGGCCCTAGTCCAGGCCTGTGTCTTCACTTCGTAGGCTACGTCAGTGGCCCTGTGTGTCTCTGCCTTCAGCCTTGTCCTCAGTTTCACGCAAGTGTCATGGCACTGTCTGGCTTGAACCCTGTGGTGGCAGCACTGCAAGCAAGCTCCAGCCTCTTTGGGTCCCCTGACCCTGGCCTTTTCCTTCTCGCCTTTGTGTTGGGCAGCTCCCGTCTCCAGCCTCATTCTGTTGACTCTGAGGCGGATCTGGTGGTTCTGTTTCCACACATCGTGATGCTTGTGCCCCTCTGCTTCCGTTTGTGGTTGCTCTTCTGGTGCAATGTTCTCCACCCACTTCTTAGCTTGCTGATATGTAGCACCTGCTGATGCTGGCAGCCTGGTGGTCAGGAGTTTCTGGTGAGTCTGTTGGATTAATCTGTTTCTTTTTTTTTTTTTTTTGAGTTGGAGTCTCACTCTGTCGCTCAGATTGGAGTGCTATGGCACGCTCCCGGCCACCGCAGCCTCGACCTGCTGGGCTCCGGCGATCCTTCCGCCTCAGCCTTCCAAGTAGTCGGAACTACAGGTGAGCGCTACCACGCCTGGCTGGTTTTTTTTTTATTTATTTATTGTAGAGACGAGGTCTTGCCAAGTTGCCCAGGCGGGTCTCGAACCCGCGGGCTCAGGTAATCCACTCACCTCAGCCTCCCAAAGGCGCGGGATGACAGGCTGAGCCACCGAGCCCAGCTTGATTAATCTGTTTCTTCAGAATCACAGTAGTTACCTTTGGTAGACTTCCATTTTGTCATCTTTGAAACCGGAATACTTTCTACTTCACAGAGTTATTGCAAGGATCAAATCAGATAATAGATCGTAAAGAGCTTAGCACAGTTTTTAAAAAACACACCTCATCCTGCCTTTCCATAGACTCCACCAGGAGGTGTAGATGTGCCCCTCTGTCACATGCATGTCTAACATTGCAGTTGGCCAGGCTCGGTGGCTCAGCCTGTAACCCCGTGCCTTGGGAGGCTGAGGTGAGTGGATTGCCTGAGCCTGCGAGTTCGAGACCCTCCTGGGCAACTTGGTGAGACCTCATCTCTACAATAAATAATCAGCTGGGTGTGGTAGTGCACGCCTGCAGTTCCGGCTACTTAGAAGGCTGAGGCGGAAGGATCGCCGGAGCCTAGTAGGTCGAGGCTGCGGTGGCCGGGAACGGCCACTGCACTCCAGTCTGGGTGACGGAGTAAGACTCCAACTCAAAAAAAAAAAAACAACAAACAAAAAACATTGCAGCCACACACTGCTGGGTAACTGCTTCTTAGAGGGCTCCCTCTACTAGGCTTTGGGTGCCTTTGCGTTAAGGACTGCCCTGTGTGTCTTGTGTCACTGTTACCCGGCACGCTGACACTTGTGAACCATTTGTAGAGATATACGTGGAGGTTGAGAGCTAAGCACATTTAGACGAGGAAGCTTCTGTCAGTGTGTACCCTGTGTTCAAGTAAGACTTTTTGTTTTCCTTTCTCTGTGCCAGTAAAGTCTTTTTTTTTTTTTGAGTTTGAGTCTCACCCTGTCACTCAGGCTGGAGTGCAATGGCATGCTCACGGCTACCGCAACCTCGACCAGCTGGGCTCAGGTGATCCTTCCACCTCAGCCCTCCAAGTAACTGGAACTACAGGCGCTCGCCACCACTCCTGGCTAGTTTTTGTGATTTATTGTAGAGTCGAGGTCTCACCAAGTTTCCCAAGCTGGTCTCAAATCCCTGGGTTCAGGCAGTCCTTTTGCCTTGGCCTCCCAAAGTACTGGGATTACAGACTGAGCCACTGTGCCTGGCTGCTAATTTTTTGATTTATTGTAGAGACAGGTCTCGCCAAGTTGCCCAGGCTGGTTTTGAACCCCTGGACTCAGGCAATCCTCTCACCTCGGCCTCCCAAAGTGCTGGGATTTTAAGTGTGAGCCACCGTGCCTGGCCTGTGAAGTCTTAAAATAGTCATTCCATGGATTTCCACCACACTGAGCTGTTTACCAGAAGCTGGAAATCAGGGAGTCCATGGGAAGTTGGCACCCTCTTGGATCCGCGCACTCTCTCATATTCTGTCTGTATGCTTGTGTAAAATTTTGAATTCAGATTTTTTTTTTTTTTGGATTTTTATAGAGTATTTCCCAAGGGATATGCTAGTGAGGCAATGCCTGACTCCCTGGTTGCTTTTCCTGCCCCCACCCCCAAATTTCAACCATTCTTGGAGTGACTGCAGGGGACCCACAACAACCCTACTAGCTGTTACCTCCCCTCTGTGTGTTAAAAAGGTCAGGCTGAGGTGAAATAACCTGTTCGGGGTTCCAAAGGCAGAACGTGGAGTAGCTCCAGTGCTCATTCGCCTTATTACCCGGGCTGTTCTTCTAAGTCAACGGAAGATAATTTTATTTCAGATGTGTAGTGTTTAATGGTGCTTTTAATTACTTGGTGACTATTTAAACATCTTAACCAGAGGAGAGCTCTATGGTAAGATAGGTAATGTTCAAGCTATGAGGAATTTTTTTAATGTGTTAATTCAGGCCATGTTTGCTTAAGGGCTGTGTATTTTATTTGTGATTCAGATGGCCACTAGGAGGACTTCCCTGCCGTCTCAGGGTTCCTAGGCTCCAGCAGGCTTGTCTCTTTCTTCCTGGTGCATAATTCCGGGCATTGCTGTGGCCAGGAGGCAGGTATGCTGCCTGTGTTTCTCTTCCCAACCCCATCTGCTCTTGGATTTGAAATTACCTTTAGAATGTTCTGGATTTGTCCCATATGCCAGAGATCTGTAAATATCTTCACATGAGTTGACATTTTCAGACGATTGAGAGGAATGTTTGTGAACACAGATGTTTTCCTTAGAGGCAGTTACTGAAATCAGCAAAAAGGTGTCTGTGTTGGAAGAGTCTAGGTTCCCTTGTAATGTGATGGGCTCGTAAATACTTTTCTCTTATGGTTCACGTTGTCATTTTCTAAGGGAGGAAATGCCTTAACTGGTAATTAAAACGTCAGATTCCTTGTCCTGCTTTTCTCCCTCGGAGTAAACTAAAAATGATTTTGACCTGCCAGGGCCGCTCAACTCTGTGAAACTCACATTGTTTGCCTACTGTTGGAGGGCCTCGTTAGGGGGTAAATTTGCTTTTTCTGTGTTTGCCAGTGACGACTCCTGTCTGTCTCTTACCGGAACTTGCTGTTTGGATTGTCTCCTTTCTTAACTGGCCAGTTTTAAACAGTTCAGGCCGTTAATTATTTTTCCTGGTCTCCGATCTTTTTCTGTTATGCTTGAGTTTTCTAGTATTGGGCAGTGAGGGTGCTGGTCCCTGAGATACTGCCTAGTTAGGGTTGGGCAGTTTGCCCGAATTGGTTGGGCCTCCCAGGGCCTGGGATCTCTGTGCTTTAACAAATGAGCTACAGTTCTCAAGAGATCAGGGAAGCTTGTTTGTTGATCCTGAATTCTCCTCCAGAGGAAGTCAGTCTTTGAGAATGGCTAAGGAAGGGTAAGTGAGTTTATTACTCTTTCTCTCTCATTTTTCTCAGTGAAGGGGTGTCATCTGAGTGAACTGGAAGATTAGTGAGCAGTGGTGACAGTCTGAGAGCGGAGGCAGAGGCAGAGATTGAAAGAAATTCAACCCAAAGCTTAGAGTGTTTCATGTGAAATCTACTGTAAAGTTACTGTTGCTGTTTTGAAAGAAGGCGTTGAGGGATGGGTGTCTTAATAGGAATTTAGTAAGATATGAGTCCTTTGTTGACCCTCTGGGACACTCGTTTTGTTTTTCAGTAGAATGTGCTTATGAAGATTAGACACAAACGGCGGTTTACCGAAGAGTTGAGGGAAGTTTAAAAGCTCAAGGGCATTTTAAAATAAATTGTACCTTTACAAAATGGCGTGAAAGATTTAATGAAAAGCAGCCAATGGTTCTGTTTCTTTCTGGCAGTGTGGGCACAAAATGGAGTAGAATCTCTGTTTGGTTTGCAATATAAACTAGTCCTGCGTTAGATTTTTGGTTTTGTATCATTTTCTCTTAGGCGTCAGAGTCTGAGTTATTACTGATTCTCTTTTTGTGACCTCCCTAATACGTGACAAGTTAATAACGGGCCTGCCTTTGATGATTTCATTTCTAGCCTTCCGGCATAGCTAGAATTCTAAAGAGACATTCCTTATGATAAAAGAGGGCATAGATCTCTGAAAAAAAAATCTTTAAAAATATAGTAAAATATTAATTTTAATTTTCTGGAAGCTATTAGTTATTTTTCAAGTTCTTTTGTTCTGTGATAAATTTTGATGTGGTTCCAGAACTTTGCTTTTACAGTTTATTTTAATGTAATCATGTGTTTATTAGGAACAAAATAAAATTGACCCACTTTACTGCTATTTTTAAATCTCACAAGAGAATAAAGAGAACAATCAGGGGTGTAAATAATTCTGCATTATTTTTAGACCTTTCATGACACCACTAGAATTTTAAGGTTTTTTTTAAAATGTGAAAATTATGAAAGGACTGCTTCTTTAGGTTTGTATATTTTCTTTCCTTTAGCACTGGCTACAAATCGGCAGCTGTTAAACCATTTTTATGGTAAGGACTATCATAGATGTTGGTGTTTTGTCAGTCTTGTACTCATGGTTGTTTATAAAGCTAGTTTATGGATATAGCATGAACTCTATTTCTGGATGCAATTAAAATTCTTGGGGAGTAATTAGTACTAATTTTCCCCCTATGGTAAAGTGTTAGACTTGGTTGGTTAGAAAGAGAAACTAGAGGGACATATACAAGCTAAGGGACACTATAAGGTCTGAGGTATTCTTTTAGGTTTATCTGTCGGGGCCTGGGGACAATTCCTGTACTGTCTGACTGGATCGTGAACAGGTGCATTTGGAATGCACGTATTTAAAGAAATCGGCTATCTTTTGTTCTCTATTCTGTCTTTAGAAATAAATGGATAGATTTTGTGCTTTGGGATGACAGTAATTCTTATGTTCACTGTTTTTGTAAGTATGACATTAATATTAACTACAGTCTGTTATCATTTTATGTCTATGATATATTTCCCAGCTAGTAATAGGAAAATATTGTCGTGAGACTTAAATCACCGACGATTATGCTCGAGCTTTGTGTAACCCTCTGGTGATTGAGACAGCGTGCTAGTAGTGTCAGGATAAGCACATGAGGTGGGACTGAAGAAAAACACTCGGGCTTACCTTTCTGTAGGTGGCCCCTTGTAGTGCACTCGGAACTTGTTCCTCCCAGTCAGGTGGCCGACCAGAGTTCTAGGAAAGCTGCATCAAAACCTGCAGAAGAAACGTCCTGAGTTGTGGCCAGCAGGTGACAGGCGATGTGTCCTTCCGCCATGGCAGCCACTTACCTGCCCGCACGGTGCTGAGTGTCCGGCAGGTTTGACCGGAAACGGCATGACCCCGCCCCGCCCTTCCCGGCCGCCCAATCTCGCCCCACGCGACCTTCTTCTGTTTTCTCAGATGAAAAAAGTCCCCAGAGGGAAAAGTTTCGCCCGTGTGGAAGAGGTGGAAGAGGTGAAACAAAAGACGGCAGAAGCACTGAAAGGCATCGAAACTGACGAGTGCCAAAACTGTTTTGAGAATGGAAAAAGCTTCTCGATAGGTGTGTTGCGCCAGATGGAGAGTGCTTGGAAGGTGACTGAAGTGTAAACATGTAAGAATTAATGCGCAATTCTTTATAAATAAATTCTGGGCCTACTTGGGCATACTCTTGTGTAACTGGCGGAGCTGCATAGGGAGTTCATAGACCACACATGTGAAATCAGTTGATTTTCAGCAGTGAGGTTAAGGTGACTCAGCGGTGAAAGATTAGTATTTTGACACATGTGCTGGAGCAACTGGATATTCATACAGAAAAAAAATGAACCTTGACCTTTACCTCAAACTATATATAAAAATAATTGAAAAAATAGCCAGGCACATTGTCTCATGCCTGTAATCCCAGTGTTTTGGGAGGCCAAGGCAAGAGGATCATTTGAGGCCAGGAGTTTGAGGTCAGTCTGGACAACATAGTGAGATCTCATCTCTACAAAAAAAAAAAGAATGGTGATATGCCTGTAGTTCCAGCCACTTGGGAGGCTGAAGCAGGAAGATTGTTTGAACCCAGAAGTTCAAGGTTACAGTGAGCTATGATCATGCTACTGCACTCCAGCCTGAACAACAAAGAGAGAGAGACCCAATCTCAAATTAACAAAACAAAATGGTTCATAGACTTAAGTATGATCTTTGTGACCTTGAACTTGGTAAAGATTTTTTAGATAAAATTCATAAAAATTACAAGGCAAAATTGATAAATTGGGCTTCATCAAAATTACAAAAGAACCCTCTGCTTTTTGAAAGACATCATTAATAATGGTAAAGGCAAATCATAGACTGGGAGAAGATATTCCCAATACACTCATATCTGATAAAGGACTTGTGTCTGAAAGGTATGAGGAACTCTTGTAATATAATAAGTCAACCCAGTGTAAAAATAGGCATAAGATTTGAATATATGCTTCACAGAAGTGGATATGGTAGATAAGCACCTGACAAGATGTGCGTTAGTCATCAGGGAAATGCGAGTTGAAACCACCGTGAGATGTCACTGCACACATGCTAGGATGGCTGGCGTGATGAGCGCTGCCGGTGTGTGCAGTGCTATGAGAGTGCAGAATAGAAAAGGCGTTTTGGACATGCCTTTTCAAGCCAAGCGTGCACTGAGCACGTGACCTAGTTATTCTGCTTTTCGTTTTTTACCCAAGAGAAATGGAAAGATGCGTTCACACGGAGTTTGTGTGACTTCATCGCAGCATTGTTTGTGATTGTCAGAAACTACAGAAATAACCCACATGACCACGAACTGAGTGGATGAGCAGATTGTGGTGTACCCACACAATGGAATACACAGGAGTGAAAGAACTGCAGAAAGGCTGTGCTAAGTAAAAGGAGCCGATGCACAGCTGAAGAGCATTTAACGCCATTCATATGAAGACTGCAGTGACAGAAAGCACACACTTGGGGCTGGGGATTGAGGAGGGCTTCGCAGAAGGACATGAGCGAATGCTTTGGCCTGAAGGAAGAATTCTGCCTCTTGATTATGGTAGTTGCTGTATTTGTTGAAACTCATCAAACTTTACACTTAAAATGGGTGAATTTTTTTGGGGCAATAGGATCTCACCCTGTTGCCCAGGCTAGGGGGCAGTGGCGTGATCATGGCTCACCACAGCCTTGACCTTCTGGGCTCAAGCAGTCCTTCTGCCTCAGCCTCTCGAATAGTTGGGACTACAGGCACATGTCACCACATCCAACTAATTTTTTTTTTGGTGGAGACGAGGTCTCGCTATGTTGCTCAGGCTGGTCTTGAACTCCTGGGCTCAAGCGATTCTTCTGCCTTGGCCTCCCAAAGTACTGGGATTACAGGTGTGAGCCACTGCACCTGGTCTAAAATTTTGTAAATAAGTTGTGAAGTATTCATATAAAAAGGAATGTCTTTGGGGAAAACATGGGTGTTCCTAGGATATGTAATGCAGGAAAAAAATGTAGTCTTCTATCTACGTCATGTTTAATTGTTGTTTATTAGTGGAGGTGCTATCTTTTAGGTAAGAGACCAAAATGAATTTTATTATTTGTTTCTACTTTAAAATTCTGGATTTGGGGCCTGGCGCAGTGGCTCACACCTGTAATTCCAGCACTAGGAGGCCAAGGTGGGAGAATTGCTTGAGCCCAAGAGTTGGATTCCTCCCTAGACAACATAGCAAGACTTGGTTTATACAACAAAATAAAAAACTCAGCCAGGCGTGGTGGTACATGACTGTGGTCCCAGCTACTTGGGAGGCTGAGGCAGAAGGGATCGCCTGAGCCCAGGAGGTTGAGGCTGTGGTGAGCCGTGATTGTGTCACCACACTCCAGTGTGGGCCCTAGAGTGAGACCCTGAGTAAAAAAAAAAAAAAAAAAATCTGGGTTTTGACCTTTTTTCCATCATAGGTGCAGTGCACTTGTTAATTTGGCCTAATACTAATGTAGATGATTATATTTCTTTCCTAATTTCTGTTTCACAGACTTCAACCTTGAAATTTTAATACATTTTATAAATTATCCTGTGTGCATATACTGGTCTTTCAAAAATCCAAGAGAAAAAGTGAAAAACAATTTAGAGGAGGATAAGAAAAAAGAGCAAGGAAACACCTGCACTTCACTAGAGTGAGGTTTTAGAATAGTACGTTTGGTTTTGGAAGTACCAGTGTCGTCTCTGGTTTCTCCCTTGACTTGTATTGTCTTCGTTGGTGGCCAGCCCTCTCCTGTTCCCACCATCCTGTCCAGTGATCCCCATTTCTCCAGTTGAGAATGAGGGTGAAGGGAATTTTCATGTCTCTTCCTCAAACATTTTTAATGAATCTCCTTAATGTGTGCTTTAAAATCTTTGGTGGGCAGATAATATACATATCTTCAGTTCTCTTAGTATTTTGTCATTTTTGTGGTATGCATACATTTAAACATCTCTCA